TCATCTGCGTATCTGAGGTTGTTGATATTTCTCCCAGCAATCTTGATTCCAGCTTGTGCTTCCTCCAGCCCAGCGTTTCTCATGATGTACTCTGCATATAAGTTAAATAAGCAGGGTGACAATATACAGCCTTGACATACTCCTTTCCCAATTTGAAACCAGTCAGTTCCCTGTCCAGTTCTGACTGTTGCTTCCTGACCTGCATACAGATTTCTCAAGAGGCAGGTCAGGTGGTCGGATATTCCCATCTCTTTCAGAATTTTCCACAGTTTATTGTGATCCACACAGTCAAAGGCTTTGGCATAGTCAATAAATCAGAAATAGATGTTTTTCTGGAAATCTTGCTTTTTCGATGATCCAACAGATGTTGGCAATTTGATCTCTGGTTCCTCTGCCTTTTCTAAAACCAGCTTGAACATCTGGAAGTTCATGGTTCACATACTGTTGAAGCCGTACTTGGAGAATTTTGAGCATTACTTTACTAGTGTGTGAGATGAGTGCAATTGTGCAGTAGTTTGAGCATTCTTTGGCATTGCCTTTCTTTGGGACTGGAATGAAAACTGAACTTTTCCAGTCCTGTGGCCACTGCTGAGTTTTCCAAATTTGCTGGCATATTGAGTGCAGCACTTTCACAGCATCATCTTTTAGGATTTGAAATAGCTCAACTGGAATTCCATCCCTTCCTCTAGCTTTGTTCGTAGTGATGCTTTCTAAGGCCCACTTGACTTCACATTCCAGGATGTCTGGCTCTCAGTGAGTGATCACACCATCGTGATTATCTGGGTTGTGAAGATCTTTTTTGTATTGTTCTTCTGTGTATTCTTGCTACCTCTTCTTAATATCTTCTGCTTCTGTTAGGTCCATACCATTTCCATCCTTTATTGAGCCCATCTTTGCATGAAATGTTCCCTTGGCATCTCTAGTTTTCTTGAAGAGATCTCTAGTCTTTCTCATTCTATTGTTTTCCTCTATTTCTTTGCACTGATCACTGAGGAAGGCTTTCTTATCTCTCCTTACTATTCTTTGGAGCTCTGCACTCAATGGTTGTTATCTTTCTGTTTCTCCTTTGCTTTTTACTTCTCTTCTTTTCACAGCTATTTGTAAGGCCTCCTCAGACAGCCATCTTGCTTTTTTGCATCTCTTTTTCTTGGGGATAGTCTTGATTCCTGTCTCCTGTACAGTGTCACGAACCTCCATCCATAGTTCATCAGGCACTCTGTCTATCAGATCTAGTCCCTTAAATCTATTTCTCACTTCTACTGTATAATCATAAGGGATTTGATTTAGGTCATACCTGAATGATCTAGTGGTTTTCCCTACTTTCTTCAATTTAAGTTTGAATTTGGCAGTAAGGAATTCATGATCTGAGCCACAGTCAGCTCCCAGTCTTGTTTTTGCTGACTGTATAGAGCTTCTCCATCTTTGGCTGCAAATAATATAATCAATCTGATTTCGGTGTTGACCACCTGATGATGTCCATGTGTAGAGTCTTCTCTTGTGTTGTTGGGAGAGGGAGTTTGCTATGACCAGTGTGTTCTCATGAAAAAAACTATTAGCCTTTTCCATGCTTCATTCTGTACTCCAAGGCCAAATTTGCCAGTTACTTCAGGTGTTTCTTGACTTCCTACTTTTGCATTCCAGTCCTTTGTAATAAAAAGGACATCTTTTTGGGGTGTTAGTTCTAGAAGGTCTTGTAGGTCTTCATAGAACTGTTCAACTTCAGCTTCTTCAGCATTACTGGTTGGGGCATAGACTTGGATTACTGTGATATTGAATGGTTTGCCTTTGAAACGAACAGAGATCATTTTGTCATTTTTGAGATTGCATCCAAGTACTGCATTTCAGACTCTCTTGTTGACTATGATGGCTACTCCATTTTTTTTGAAGGGATTCTTGCCCACAGTAGTAGATATAATGGTCATCTGAGTTAAATTCACCCATTCTAGTCCATTTTAGTTTGCTTATTCCTGAAATGTCGATGTTCACTCTTGCCATCTCCTGTTTGACCACTTCCAATTTGCCTTGATTCATGGACCTAACATTCCAGGTTCCTATGCATTATTGCTCTTTACAGCATCAGACCTTGCTTTCATCACCAGTCACATCCACAACTGGGTGTTGTTTTTGCTTTGGCTCTGTCTGTTTATTCTTTCTGGAGTTATTTCTCCACTGATCTCCAGTAGCATATTGGTCACCTACCAGCCTGGGGAGTTCAGCTTTCAGTGTCCTATCTTTTTGCCTTTTCATACTGTTCATGGGGTTCTCAAGGCAAGAATACTGAAGTGGTTTGCCATTCCCTTCTCCAGTGGACCACATTTTGTCAGAGCTCTCCACCATGATCTGTCCGTCTTGTGTGGCCCTACACAGCATGGCTCACAGTCATTGAATTAGACAAGGCTGTGGTCCATGTGATTAGATTGGTTAGTTTTCTGTGATTGTGGTTTTCAGTGTTTCTGCCCTCTGATGGAGAAGGATAAGCGGCTTATGGAAGCTTCCTGATGGGAGAGCCTGACTGAGGGAGAAACTGGGTCTTGTTCTGATGGGCAGGGCCATGCTCAGTAAATCTTTAATCCAATTTTCTGTTGATGGGTGGAGCTGTGTTCCTCCCTGTATTTACCTGGTGTTGGAGAAGAGTCTTGAGAGTCCCTTGGACTGCAAGGAGATCCAACCAGTCCATCCTAAAGGAGATCAGTCCTGGCTGTTCATTGGAAGGACTGATGCTGAAGCTAAAACTCCAATACTTTGGCAACTTCATGCGAAGAGTTGACTCATTGGAAAAGACCCTGATGCTGGGAGGGATTGGGAGCAGGAGGAGAAGGGGACAACAGAGGATGAGTTGGCTGATGGCATCACCGACTCGATGGACATGAGTTTGGGTAAACCCCGGGAGTTGGTGATGGACAGGGAGGCCTGGAGTGCTGCGATTCATGGGGTCGCAAAGAGTCGGACACGCCTGAGCAACTGAACTGAACTGAAACTATGGTGGAAGTAGTGAAGATAATGGCTACCTCAGAAGATCCCACGCATGTACTGCTACACTCGGTGCTCCCAACCCTGCAGCTGGCCACCACCCTAAACCTGTAACTGCAGTCTAATCATGAGAGAACATGAGGGTCATTCTGTAGCTTGCAGGATATTTTATAAAATACCTGATCATGAATCTTCAAAAGTGTCAAGGTAATGAGAAATAGGGAAAAACTAAGACATTGTCCCAGACCAAGGGAGACACAACAAATAAATGCAGTGTGGTATGCTGGAACAGAAAAAGGAATTGGTGGAAAATGGTGATTTCCTAATAAAGGCTGTGGTTTAGTAAATAATGTAGTACCAGTGTTGATTTCTTAATTTTCACAAATGTACTGTGGTTACATCAGATGTTAACATCAGGTAGAGGTGAGGGAAGATGTGTGGGAACTCTCTGTACCTTCTTTGTGATTTTTCAGTAATGCTAAAGATATTCCAGAATGAAAGTTTCTATTTTAAAACGCTTTACTGTTCTCCATCCTCTAACACTTATAATGTGTTGTTATTGTTTAGTCACTGAGTCGTGTCCAACTCTTTTGCAACTATAGCTTGGACTACAGCTTGGACTATAGCTTGCCAGGCTCCACTAACCATGGAATTCTTCAGCCAAGAATACTGGAGTTGGTTGCCATTTCCTTCTCCAGGAGATTTTCCTGACCTAGGGATCGAACCTGAGTCCCCTGCCTTGGCAGGCAGATTCTTTACCACTGAGCCACCAGGAAAGCCCCTTATAATGTGTAGGTGAAAGATTTATGAGAGTTAACAGTTTTTTTTCCTGCCTCTTTTTTGAAAAGCCCAGCTTGGTGGAGTCTGGTATCTCATTTGAGGATATAATTTTTACTATTTTTGAGGCTCAGCAGCAGCCTGCTATTTAAATTTCCTATTACGTTCATATATGCTAACAAATATCTCTTTGGTGATATACAAGAAACCAAAATCTGATGGCCTGTGGACAAATGTACTTCAGTGGCTCAAGGAGAAGAAAGAGCAGTTTCTTATGGTTTATTTTGATGTACTTTTGGAATCTGAGCCATGTGAATAAATCACATCTGTAAAATTTTTAATTTAAAAAAATGGCTTGGTTGTATTACTCTTGAATCAATATTTGATGACTCAGGAACTGTTTCTATACTGTTGTGCCTCCTGAGAAAGATCCTCTGTATGTTCTGTGTTGAGAACCATTGGGTGTTTCGAAGCCATTTTTCCTTCATGATGCTGTAATGTCATTTGCATTTGAGTTCCTCCTGCTTCATCTTCACACATTGCACAAAATATTCGGTAACTGCCTAATACTTTAGCAATTTGTCAGATAATTAGGCACTTCATGGGTTGGGATTATTTCTACTCTGTGGAGCCCACCGAAGGATGCTGTGAAGGTATTTGTGGCTACATTAAATTCATTAGGAGGAACATTCCTGGGCATTTTTCCATTTCAGGAAAGGTTCCAAAAGAGGTCAGCTTTCTCATCCACCTAAGACAGGTACCAACCACAGTTTCACTCATACATTTATCACTCATTTCTAAAGCAGTCACTCTGTTCATAACAAAACTCTCAAGCTTTATATGTCTTCATAAAGAGGATAGAAATAAAGCTTGTGGTTTCATTAGTACACCTTCTGACTGAGCCAGTCTTTAGCTCTAAAAGTTTCCTAAAGAAATGTGATCCTTGCTTTGGAGTTGGTGGTTGTTATCCAGGAAGGGCCAAGATATGAGACTCAGAAATGTCACTCCCCAAGTTTAGGTTTTGGGTGTCTGTGGGTCCCTATAATCAGTTTCCCACCCAGGCATTAGCTAAACACTGTGACAGCACAGATGGCTTGGCTTTGTAAGGTGTACATTTCAATCAGGACTTTAACCTTCTTTTTATTATTTTAGATCTTATACATTTTGGTTGCTGAGAATTTTAAATAAGTATCTTTTTTAAGATAAAAAATGAAATCAACATCTTTGCCACTTATTCTATCTTTTCTTTCTAGCAAGTCTTTTCCCTTGTTTAATCGATGCATCCCTCAAACTCCTGAGTGCTATTCTCTGTTTGCATCTGTCCTGATCAATGATGTGGACTCCCTCCATCGAATTCTAAGTGGAATAATGTCAGGAAGAGACACAGTCCTCGGCCTCTGTATCCTCGCCTTTGGTAATTTTTCATTAATTTTTCTGCAGTGGCTCTTTATACCAAAATTTCTAGCACTTATGTGTGCTGTACAATGAAAATTAGCCTCTTGACCTAATTATGAAACTTCACTTCATATATTTTCTTTGTAGATATTGTCAGTGTTTCAAGTTCAGGTGGGGGAGGGGTGGTAAGACTGGGAAAAGGCCAGCTGACCCTGCCTAGAGGCCTCACTAGGTGGGGGTTGCCTTAAACATTGACGATGTTCCAGGGTCTGCTCCTCAGCTCTGCCTGAGGATGGATGTGCAGAGAAGATTGCCACTTTGTGAACTGGCCATGGAAAGTGCCAGAAATGCATGTCCAGCAAGTGTGGACGTTCTGTAATGCCTCTTCCTGCAGGCAAGCCAGATCAGAGCCTGCTGAGTAGGGGAAGGAGGTGTGTCCATCATGTTAGCGTCAGAGGGCACTGAGCCGATGGATCCAGCTCCTCCCAGGAACAGGCTTGCTGGGTTGCAGGCAGGTCAAGGCCTTGAGCTGGATCCTGCCTTTTCTGAGTCTTTCTGGAAGCAGCCACTTCCCCACTCCTGACGGTTTAACTTCCCTTTTGCTATTTTAGCTTGATGAGTCCTTTTAAGCATCAGCCTTCTCTTTGAATGAGTTAATACTCTCTGTTGCTTTAGGCAATAGTAGTGGCCTGTTATTTACCCCTGTCATTTACAATGGCTGCCTCCCAACCTTGGAAGGTTGAAAGCTCTTTGATCATCCATTAACATCATGTTTCCAGTTTATAAATTGAGGTTTCCATAATTTCATTACCCAAAGGTTACTAATTCCTGAATGCTTGGGGATGCTTAACTAGCCACCATTATGTAACTTCCAGACTTCTTGTGACCCACGTACACCAGGCATTGTGCTTATTGTTAACTCTCTAAGCCTCATCAGAATCCCGTCACCATCTGTATGAGAGGAAACTGAGGCCTAGAGACATCTGAGGCTTGACCAAGTTTACACATCTAGTGGAGGTGGCAGAGCTGAGACTCGCCCAGATCTGTCTGACTTCAAACCCATGATCTTAATCACTACACTGAAATATCTATATGTAATCTTGAATTCTGGCTCAGAAAAAAAGTAAAATAGTACCTATAAATTCACTGAAGTTCCCTGGTGACTCTGATGGTAAAGAATCTGCCTGCAGTGCAGGAGACCCAGGTTTGATCCCTGGGTCAGGAGGGTCACCTGGAGAAGTATTTTTGTCTAAGAAATCCCATGGACAGAGGAGCCTGGTAGACTACAGTCCATAGGTCACAGAGTCAGACAGGACTGAGTAGCTAACACTTTCAATAAATTCATAGGCTTAAAAGCCCCCAAAGTGGAAACAGATATGCACATTTTTATACATATATCTTATCATATAATCTTAAATTTTTCATTTTTAAAGGCATTCATCTTTCATTTTTAGTGAGGATATCTGAGAACACAAGATTAGAACTTTTAAGTTATGAGATCAAAAGAGTTAAGTTTAATAAAAAATTTTTAGATGTTTCATTTGGACTTAAAAAAAGTTTAGGCTATTTGGGAGTAATATCTGCTTTGAAAACATTTTTATAATTCAAGAAGCATGCTAGCACTTTCAGGACGTGGCTTACTGTCACAGACTGAACTTGTACATGCTTCAGAGGGTGGCCTGAGTATGTCTTGTTTTTGTTTAATAGGTGTCCAAGATATTTCGAGATTGAAGAAAGTCCTCAGCCTTCACTCTTTCAGGAAGGTTTAGTCATTCCAGCCCCATTGTAATCACCCTCATGTCTTGATTGTTGTTAGAATTTATATGTTTTGCTTAATTTTCTAGCCTTGTCTTTGGCCATGATGTTCACCTTCCGCTTCATCACCACCCTTCTGGTTCACATTTTCATTGCACTGATTGTTTTGGGATTGTTGTGTAAGTATTTCCACTTGATTGGTTTCTTCTTGATTAAATGAAAAACCTTTCCATTACATGTAGAAGTTAAAAGCTGTCATTTTGAGCTACATGGGATCTTAGAGAAGCTCTTGTCCAGCTCCCTCATTTTATATAAGAGGAAACACAGGCCCAAAGAGGATAGGGAGGACTACAGGATTACTTCTGTCTCACAGCTAACAGCAGAGTTCCTGCCTGGCCTGCCATCTCTTCTGCACTCTCAGATGAGCCAGCCCAGTGAGTGGTACTGGTTTCATCCATTAAAAGGCAATTGCAGTGCCTGTTGGAAGCCCTTTAAAGAATTTTTTCTGAATTTTCATATCACCCATTGGCACCTAGGGGCCCATATTACCCTGCAAAGGCTCAGGCCAGTCTGAAGAGACACAGCCCTTGAGCTGGGCAGGGTACCAGAGACATGTCCCGTGCCCACTGTTTTCCTTTTCAGTGCTGGATCTCGGGTCCATCCAGGAGCTGTCAGGGAGGAAGATCCAAGGGACAGGGGCAGGCAGGAAGGTCAAGGCAGCAGCATGGGATCCCGGTAGAGGATATTTTAATTTTTAATAATTGGTGTGACCAAATAAACACTTGGCATGACCATAGCGTTTCATCTTCTGAACAATCAGTTCTGTCCTCAGCACCTCCCAGCCCTGCAGCTCACAGGTGCTCAGCTTGCCTGTGCTGGAGGACATGCAGGACGGCTTGTGAGGGATGCTCTTCCCCACCCACGAGTGGTAAAGACGCCCTCCCTGAAGCCACTGTGGATGTGGTGCAGGTGTCACCAAGTCCCTAAATGCAGAGCATTTGTGATGTTGGGACATCTGCCCAGTTTTGTAGGTGTCAAGCCAATATCCATATAGTCAAAGGTATGGTCATTCCAGTACAGATGTCAGAGTTGGACCATAAAGAAGGCTGAGTGCCAGAGAATTGATGCTTTTGAATTATGATGCTGGAGAAGACTCTTGAAAGTCCCTTGGACAGCAAAGAGATCAAACCAGTCAGTCCTAAAGGAAATCCACTCTGACTATTCTTTGTAAGGACCAGTGCTGAAATTGAAACTCAGTATTTTGGCCACCTGATGTGAAGAGCCAACTCTTTGGGAAAAGACTCTGATGCTGGGAAAGATTGAAGGCAAAAGAAGAAGGGGGCAACAGAGGATGAGATGTTTAGATAGCATCACAGTCTCAGTGGACATGAATTTGAGCAAACTCCATTGAGATAGCAGAAGCCAGAGGAACCTGGCATGCTGCAGTTAATGGGGTCACAAAGAGTCGGACACGACTTGGCAATGGAACAGCAGCAAAACCAATATCCAGGCTCCTCTGGAGTTGTCACCTGCAGAGCTGGTTTGGGAATTTTAGCCTTTGGACTCTAATGTTGTTCCTCTCACCATCCTGTCCGTACAGTTTGCTCCATGCTCACACCCAGCCCCACCTATGGGCTAGGCTCACAGGGCACACCTGTGTTTTGGAGTCACCTTCCTACATCTCCCAGAGATACACAACTGCCCTAAGCCTGGAAGCTCCTCCGTGGGCCGCCGTGACCCTGCCTAGCTGCTTCAGAGGGTTGGTCATTGCCTGCAAAGCCCAAGGGATTTGGGACCCACTGCCCGAGCAGGGCCACCCAGTGTCAGGGGACAGGGTGGTTACCTCATGGCGTATGTGCTGAGTTCCACTGCTGTTTTGCTTTCCAGTTGTCTGCGGTGTCTTATGGTGGCTGTACTATGACTATACCAATGACCTCAGCATAGAACTGGACACAGAAAGGGAAAATATGAAGTGTCTGCTGGGATTTGCTATTGTCTCTACAGTAATCACGGTAAGAAGCACTCTTCCAGCAGTAGATCAGGTAGCCTGCCAGAACTCTGAAGTCCAAACAGTTGCATTTTAACCCAAAACAATGAGCATTTGTTTTTCTTTCACTGCAGAAGGTGCATACATAGTAATGTAGTGAGGGTACATACACATTTAGTGCCTTCACATTTCATTTGAGATACCTGTATAGGAATGCATTGCAGCCTCAAAAAGTGAAAAAACAATCCTACCTCTTTCCAGGTCATTTCTGCCATCTCAGAAGTTGATTCATTATCCTTGCTGATCCGTTACCCTTGCTATAGTAGGACTGCTTTCACCCCCAGGCAGCTATCGGGTGAACACTACAGTGTGGAGGGGGAGGCAGACTTGTAACAGTTCCTATTTCCTGGTTTGAGAAGAGCCCCCCCTTCCTCCTCTAGCCAGTGGGTGCTTTGCTCCCAAAGGCGTGACAGCTCCCACTGCCCTTGAACACAGAGAGCCCTTTGTCTCCAAACCTGCCGGCCACTAGCTTCATTTGGTTTGCAGAGAACCTGCTGCCTCCCCAGTGAATTCCCTGGATGAGAGCAGGCAAACATAGAACATTGAGCCTGGCAATATAGGTTGTTGGCGGAGGATGGTTGGCAACTGAGAATCATTCAGGCCACTTCCTGGATGCTGATGGTGGTGCTGGCATCACAGGCCTGGACAGGCTCAGGGGTTGGCTTCAGGCGGCCCATGGGCATCCTTTAGTGTGTTGCTTCCTAAGCACTATGTCATGGAGGCATGACAGTCAGGGGTTTTTACATGCCCATTGCATGTTTCAGCAACTCAGTTCTCATAAGAGCCTCAGATTCTCTCACCAGCTCAGCTCTCTCCTTTAAGGAAATACTTGGGTTCTCACATCTGACACAGGCCTGACATTTTTTCCTCTCTAGGGAGGTGTCAGGCTTGGGTTCCTCACATGAACTGCATCTCAGGGAGCAAGTATCCGATAAAGCAAAGCTCCTGGTCTGTCCTGGGTCCAGGCCCATGGCTGAGCCGGGACCTGGGCAGGAGGCTGGAGAAGAAAGCCCCCCACACCCCAGGCCAGGTGCTGGGCTGCTGGGCACAAGAGCAGGGAGAAGCAGGGCTGGGAGCCGGGGGAGCTCACCTCCTTCCACTCCCCCCACAACCATTGTCCTCCCCAGCCCTCCGCAGGGCTCCCTTTGTCTTCACACACTGAACCGTCAGTGGCTGACAGATGCCAGGGTCAGGGGAGGCTCTTCTCTGAGTGTAAGGATAGAGAAAGGGGAGGCTGTGAGCGGAGAGGGAGGAGCGCACCACGGCTCGCACACCATTCGTTTACACGTGTGTCCCTGCTACGTAGTTTCTGCCAAGTACCTGCTTCTGGGGAGCTTGTGCTAACAAGATCCCTAAGACTCTCTGTCACCATCACCTTTTACTGAGCACCTGTTTTGCACAGGGCCCTGCCCTAGACAACGTAGCTGGCCAGAAAAAACACACAGCCAGCACACACCCCACCGTGAGGTGAATTACAGAGCCAGCAATGCCATGACATGATGCACAGGGCAAGATTCCATCCTGTGAGGGGAGCTGCCTAGGAATGCTATTTCAGTGGTTTCAATATACTCAGCAGCAGCAATGAAAATAGGATGAATGGCATTGGCTGCTCACCTCAGGGTGTCAGCCTAGGGGTGCAGGCTGAGATGCAGCAGTTTGCAGCTTAGGGCCCAGAAAGGGGAGTAGAGGCTTGACCCCTGTGGTGAGTCAGCTTTGCTGCCCACCCCGCACCCCTAGCCCTGTCCCCAGTGGGTAATGCTGATCTACCTAAGACTAGGGAGTAATGGGATAGTTAACTCTTCAGTTCTGGTCAGTGTCCTCGAGGTGTACTTTGACCATGAGGAGAGCCTTTTATACACACACACACACACACACACACATTTAAGTTGAAAAACACACACATATTAAATACACACATTTTTGCATTCCATTCAGGAGCTACCAGCCACTCAGGAGCTACAAGTTTATTTGCCTAAAGATTATATCATTTTACTTTATTAAAATTTTTAGTAAAAAACAAAGTCCCTCTTCCTCATTGATTGTGCTAGGCATTGAGGACACAAGAGGTGGAAATTCCTACTCAGCCTTCACAACTCTCACATCTCCTCCAGGCATCCCTCCCTGGGTCCTCAGGCCAGTCCCCACAGCTGGGTGACGACTGGGCCCTTCAGCCCCGGGAGAGGTTTTGCACATTTTATTCCTCTTTCACCTGACTTCCCTCCACTTGACTATGAGATCCTCATGGGCAGCAACACCCGGGTCCAGCAGGAAGAGGAATAGCATCTTGGGCTCCAGGGGTGGTGTGCCGGGTCACATGGACAAGAGAGGAGCCTGTAGGACGTTCCCTCGGCAGGAAGGGACCAGACCAGGGAGGTCCTGATTTGCAGTGGTGATGATTTCAGTCTTTATCCAGGAGCTCTGGGGAAATGTCAAACGATTTTGATCAGGGAGAGGACATCCTTCACTGCACATTTTATAAAGATCCCTTTAGCTTGTGTTGGAGGAGGGATGAGGTCAGGAGTAGGGGGTTAAGGGAATTCAAAGCAGAAGGTAATGAGGTTATTGGGGGTCTAGAAGAGAGAAAATGAGATTTGAGCTGTGGCATCAATGTGGGAATCGAGAGGAGAGAAGAGACTGGGAGCTCTGTCAGCAAACTGAGATTGTTCTATGACTGTCGCTTTGCCAGCCCTTTTTAAAAAATTTTTAAATTTTTTATTTTTTTGCCAGCCCTTAACAATAAGGGATGGCCCTTCCCTCAAGAAGCTTGATGTCAGTAATGTGCCGTGCAGGCAATAAACATCCACAGTAGAGCGCGCTGAGTGCTACAGTAGGGTAAGATGGAAGTCCGCGAGAGAGGAACCTAACTTTTTCTCGGAAAGTGTAGAAAAATTAGGACCCCTGGAGTAGGGAATACGGGGGAAATAGATTTTTGTGTGAAGATGATGAAGTCAGTTCTGGACACGTTGAGTTTGACGCACTGTAGGATACCCACTGCCTGGTCAGTAACTGATGTGCTTACTCATCCATCATATAGAGAAAGGTGAGGTTGGAGATTTTTATTTTAAATTGACAGCATTGCATAGCTTGCAGGATCTTAGTTCCCCAATCAGGGATTGAACCTGTGCCCTCTGCAGTGGGAGCATGGAGTTCTAACCACTGGACCACCAGGGAATTCCCTGGAGATTTTTATTTGTAAGTTTAAAGCATCTAAGAAGGATGCTATAACCACAAAAGAGCAGGGAGGACCACCCAAAAGATCCCAAGAAACAGCAACTGAAGAAGTAGAAGGAGGCCCAAAGGAGAGAGCACTGTCCTTGCAGCCCCTTGCCCTTCTGCAGTCCTCAGCATTCTCTGGCATGTTAGGTGCTATTGGGAAAAAGAAATAGACGGTTCCCTGACGCCCGAGGACCTTACTCTCTCTCTCTGACAGGCTGCAAGCTCCTTTAGAGTGGGGGCTCTGTCTCGTCCACTGTTGTAGCAGCAGAATCTAGCATAAATATCAGCACATAGTAGATGCTCAATTAGTACTTGAGAACATGTCTATTCCATTATGATAAAGTAGGGGCTGACTGTGTTAAAAGAGCTATTTGCTGAGATGTCAGTAAAATATTAGGGTTTAAGTTCATCTCAGTTCTTCATTATTTTGAATAATTTAACCCCTTTTTCACCAGGCAGTTCTACTCATCTTGATTTATGTCCTCAGAAAGAGGATCAAATTGACAGTTGAACTTCTCCAAGTCACAAATAAAGCCATCAGCAGCTCTCCCTTCCTGCTGTTCCAGCCACTGTGGACATTTACCATCCTCATTTTCTTCTGGGTCCTCTGGGTGGCTGTGCTCCTGAGCCTGGGGACTGCAGGTAAGGGCCGTGGGGATGGGGTCCATGATGCTGAAGTCAGACACAGAAGGCCCCAGCATTCTGGAACCACTGGCCTGTTTTTATAGAGACCAGACTTCCCATGCAGCTTGAGGCCTCTGGTGGCAGCAGTGATGGTGTTTGGGGCTCTGTCATGGCGGGATGCAGGAAATTCTTTTCCCTCTGATGGGGAGCGGGGAAGGACCCTTCTGAAATGTTGTTGCTGTCTCAGAAGAACCAGTTTAAATTTAATGAGAGTGCACACAGACCTCTGCATTGCCTTGCTCCTGAGAAGACAAGGCTGTTTCATTTGGGGCAGCCGTGCACAGTTTAAAAATAAGAGGTCTGTTACCAAGAAAAGATGAAAGAACAGAAATCATGAGACAGTTGGAAGTCTCAACTGGGGCAGCACTGAACAATCACATTCTAGCTCATTTCCTCGACACAGTTTTAGTCCTGGTCAGATAGGAAGGCAGTGGCCTCGGAGCCTGCAGGAAAGTGAACACTTGTTGAAAATTTCCTGAATTCTGAGCTCTGTACTAGGTGCTTCCTTATGGTCTCTCCTTAAAGCATTGCAACCCCCTTTTGATGCCTGTGTTCTTATGTTCAAGTTATAGGCAAGAACATTGAGGTTCTAGTAAGTAATTTGCTGAAGGCCATCCAGCTAGCTGACACCAGAGGTCTAGAACAGCTCTAGCTCTAGAACTGTGCTCTTTCCACTACCTCACGTGTCCCTGTGTCTGGGATACGGGGCTAGGAAATCAAACTAGGCCTCCTGAGTTTTGTCCGTTCAAGTCGAAGCAGCATTGTGACCACAGAGCCTGGCTGGCAGATGCGGGCTATGCCCATAATGTGGTGTTTGCAGCCTGTGACTAGAGGGCAACATGGCAGGCTAGGGGCTGAAGCCAGGGGGTGGCGGGGGGCTGGCAGGACTTGACGCTCTGGGTGGTAGGCTGTGGTGCTGAGCCCTCGTCCTCCAGAACCACAGGGAAGAGGTGAGGCCTTGGGAAGCATGACTTGGGCCCAGGGAGGGACCTTCCTCCTCCAGCCTCCAGGGCACAGTTGCCCAACTTTGCTGTCATTATGGGCTGTGAGCCTGGGTGAAGGGACTTGTCTCTGGGGTTTGGAGCAGGACACATTCTTTTGTTCTTTCTTTACTGCACAAATGTTAGGTGAGGGCTGTGGGACAAGGTCCTGGCAAGGCAGTGGGGAAGAATGGTGGCCTCTGCCCACGGTGAGGATGGCCAAGGTAGACGACCATCACAGGAGAGGTTTGGGGAGCTGTGAGAGTACCACAGCGAGGCTCCAGCCGACTCTGTGAGGCAGGGAAGGCCTCTCAGAGGATGGGCTGGAAATTCCCAGGTCAGGAAGCAAAGGGCTTTAGTGGGGTCATGTCCAAGCACAGGAGAGCACCTGGTTGTAGAGGACAAGACGAGAGCTGGTCTGAGAGCTGGGGGCCCAGGCGGAGAGGATCATGCCCCAAGGCCAGTTCGGGTGGGGGGGTGACTTGATCCGCTAGCAGGGTGCCTCTTCAGTTCTCCCTCTTAGGCCCCAGTTGGGTCCAAGGCCTGGGAAGCATTAAATAGCCTGGGCCCCAGGGCTGAGAGGAGGGGTGGAGACAGAGTGGGCTGCTCTATAGGGTAGAAGGCAGCATGTTGGAAGGTTATGTATTAAAGCGTGGCCATTTTGGAAGGAGATAAATGAGCAAAACTGAGATGAATTGAAGAGCAGGAGGGACTTCCCTGGTGGTCTAGTGGCTAAGACTCTCTCCCAGTGCAGGGGCCAGAGTTTAATCCCTAGTTGGGGAGCTAGACCCCACATGACCACAACTAAGAGTTTGCTTACTGCAGTTACAAGATGCTGCAACCAAGACCAGACCAAATAAATAAAAATAAATATGAAGGGCAGGAAAGGAAGCTGGGTGCCCAGGACCTGCTGCAGGAATCTGTGAGCAGGTAGATACCAGGCTTCCAGGAGGCCTGGTGTTGACAGAGCTCCCGCCTTCCCTCCTCCCCAGGGTTGGGCAGCATAGAAACCAGGCCACCTGCCTCTCCTTTCCACTCACCTGTGGCCCAGTGTGGTGCACAGAGGTCCCTTTGTCTTCAAAGGCCTTTTCATACAGTGCCAGGATGACAAGCTCTGGGCCTGGGCGGGTCATCTGCTGCTGTTTGGATCCTCAGCAGATGCCCAGGTGATGGGGGCGGGGGGGTGGGGTGAGGGATGCCCGCGCAGCACCTGTCTCATTTCACTTTCCCTCAGCAGATGCCCAGGTGATGGGGGTGGTGAGGGACGCCCGCGCAGCACCTGTCTTATCTCATGACCCCTCAGGCAGTCACAGAGCCCTCAGACTCTCCAGTCTCCGCCCAAAGTCCCCAATGTTGTGGGGGTGTCCTCAGTGGTACATCCGATGAGATTTTTATTGTGTCACGTGACTGAATAGTTAATACTTTATTGTGTAAAAAAAGAAAAAAATGCAAGAAAAACCAACTTAGGTTGATAAATTTTTGCCATTTTTTTTTTTGATGAGCTATTTCTCTAGTGACTGTTAATAAGTCTCTTAACTAGTTGACAAACTCGGGCTTGTTTGGGGATTCCTTCAGTGGAGCAGAAGAAATGACAGGCCCCCCAGAATGACAGTAATTAGTCAGTTGGGACTTGTATGCTACCAGCAGTGTGACAGTGATTACTAGAATCCAGTGGAAGAAGTAGTTACAGGAACACAGTAATAACCTTGGGAATCCAGTAGGTGCGGTTGGCAGGTAGGAAAAAGCCCAGATGATCTGATGACCCTCAGTTATCATTAGGTGGTGAGGAAGCCCCAGAGTTGAAACAGTAGAAGAAAGGGGCCCGTTTGGGCTGGGGGTGGCTTTCTCTCCCCTTGGTACTACAGTCAGAAGAGATCTATCCTCACAGGAACGTGCTTAGCGTGCTGAAAGGCAAAGAACTGTGCTTGGAAAGGAGGCAGCAGGATTATAGAGGGACTCCCGTCAAGGGCCCTGGGATCTAGGCTGGCTCTGGCCTTCCTTGAATGTTAATCTGGGCTTCCTTTTTCCCATTTTTGCAGTAGACAAATGGTACTTTCCCCAGACTGCCTCATAAGGAAGTTAGGAGGCTGAGATGGGACCAGAGCTTTGCTTTGCAATTGGGGGCCCTATGTATTTCTTATATTAGGAACTAATGTCAACCAAGGAATGTCTAGTACTAACTTCCCGTTTGTGGTTTGTTCTCTGCCTGGCATATTTGAAAACACAGTCTAAAAGAAAATTGTCCTCTTTTTAGGTTATCAGAGATCTAGAAGATAATTGAAGTTATTTCACAAAAGCTTCCTAATAGCCCAGCCCTGTCCTAGGAACAGGGGGAAGAGGGGTTGCTCAGGAGAGATTTGAAACAGCACCTGCTTTTCAGAAGTTTATGTCCCTGTGGGGAAGTGTGAAGGAAGGCAGCCTCCATGAACATCTAGGGATCTTTGCACCTGCTGTGATCTCAGTCTAGAATCTTCTCCCCTTCCTAAGCCTCACCCCAACTTTCTGCCCATCACTGCTTGGAAAAACGAGTCATTATTCAAGATCTGTTTTGAGTAATATATTTCTTGGAACTATCCTTGGTGGCTCAGACTGTAAAGAATCTGCCTGCAATGCAGGAGACCTGGGTTCGATCCCTGGGTCAGAAAAATCCCCTGGAGAGGGAAATGACAACCCACTCCAGGATTCTTGCATGGATAATTCCCTGGACAGAGAAGCCTGGTGGGCTACAGTCCATGGGGTTGCACAGAGTCGGACACAACTGAACGAGTAATGCTTTCACTTTCAATATATTTCTTGGAAACTCTCTTATAAATTGCCCAAGCAAACTGAGCTATTTCTTCTTTTTTTTTCCTTACATTTTGTATATTCTTCATTCTTTCAAGAACTATTCATCGAATGCCTGCTACATGGCTTGAGAACTAGAGATACAGTAGTGAACCAGATGAAGGGAATGGGAAAAGGAGCATAAATGTGTTATGTCAGGTGGTGATGAGACCTCTAAACAATCACGCAAGATAATGACTTGTGTGTTGTCCTCCCTCAGGAGAACGAACATCTGGAGGGCAGGGACTGTGTCTCTTTCTTTCTATCTCTAAGGTCCGTGCACAGCCCTTGAGTGAGTTCAGTGTGTGCCGAGTCAGGGAGTGAATTCACATTGATGCTGTACTGAATGTGATGTATACCAGAAAGAGCTAGGTAAAGTCCAGGCATGATGGCCATGAGATTTTCTTCTCTTTTCCCCTGATCCTTGTGCAGTCAGAGCAGAAGCTGAGGCAGTGGGAGGCTCAGGCAGGCTGGGTGTCAGCAGGACACCAAGTCACTTGGCTGGAAGAGGCCAAGTGCACAGAATGTGGTAGAACATAGGACTGTTTTAAGTTGGGCCTGCATCATTTGGGAAATGATCCCAATCAGCTGCACTGCCTTCCTTGAGAAAGTGCCATTTACACTAATCATTAGTAACATATCAGTCTTTCAAATTGCTTTAAAACTTGCTTGTAATACCCAAATTTATAGCTAGCTACATGATGCATTTCCTCCAGGTTATGACGATGATCTCTAGAAGGACTTCCTGAAAGTTGTCTCAAATCTCTTTGATATGATGTATTACTTGAGGAAGATTGGTTCATTCATTTGTGCAATCATTCACTGAACAAGTACTTATTGGACATTTACTATATCAGACCCTGTTATAGATGCTAGAGATACCGCTTTCCTTTCAGTGTGGAGGCTACAGGGAGATAAGCATTAAATAAAATGAGTCAGTGAATTTTATAGTATATTCAAATTTGATAGGTGGTAAGGAGAAAAATAGAGCAGAAAAGAATAACAAATGGTTGTGCTGGACTGTGTGTGCTCGGTCATGTCTGACTCTCTGCAACCCCACAGACTGTAGCCTGCCAGACTCCTTTGTCCATGGAATTTTCCAGGCAAAAATACTAGAGTGGGTTGCCATTTCCTACTCCAGAATAAATGCTTAAG